TACTGACACAATGCAGTCCCGACTGCCATCCATATCAATTCTAAAACACGGCATGTTGCTCGGTAATCTACTACATGCTCAAACTTTTCTAAATATCATACTCTGAGAGTTGCCGCAAGGTTAAATATACCGTATCCAGAAAATATCGTGATTAAAGTGCTGCACATATCTTTAGATGTGTGCCACTGCCCCAAAAGAAGTCGAACATTGTTGTGAGTTTCTTTATAGGGAATTAATCTCCCAAAAATTGCTTAATTACATGCAATGTATAGACGTTCATCACAACTTTGAGGTAAATTGTTGCGATACATCTCACATACAGCGTGAACATTATCATTGCAATTGGGCGGATCACCAGGTTTCAATATTACAACTTTTGGTAGTAAAATATTGCAACCTAGAGGTACTTGTTTGGTAATTTCAAAGTATATATCTTCCATTTCAAAATCATTTACGCGACTCTCCAACATTCTATTCAAAATCATTTCATACTTCATCAAAAGGTCATCAGTAGTTGAAGACTCTCCGAATAGTGGTTGATTAATGGATTCATAACTTTCAACTGGATAGTCAAGCAAGGTAGGAAGAGTAAACTGGAATACTATTCGCAATGTCGCATGTGAAATCTGGCGCGTGATATCAAAAATATTGCCGTAAGAAAATGTTGAAGCTTTAAAATCAATATTATCAATTACTGCAAGATTCCAGATATTTGGTCCTTCGATTAGATTGTTTCTAGGATCTATACTATGCATTCTTAATCTTTCAAGACGACTTTCATGCCTTTTAGTATATGCGATAACAGATGCTAAACGAAGAATTTCTCTTAAATACGGCAATAATTTTAGATTTTGACAAATTGACGATATAATGGTTAAAAGCCAAATCTTTAATATAGGAAAAGCAATAGTAAGTAGTATTGAAGTTAATAAAGTGATAGTTTTTGATATTTGACTTGCATCGTGTGACTTTAAGGGAAGTCCACGTTGACGTCTCTTATTATTAACAACTTTTTGTTTATGTTGTTGCAATACTGTGAGGAGAGATTGAAAAAAAGTACAAAGAACTTTAGGTAATGCGTTAAAGTACTCTTCGTATGAGCTTGGGTTTTCTAAATGGTTTATATTTTATTTAACTTCAGAACGTGAATGTAGAATTTCTTTCCCTAATTTTTCGCCCATTATCGAAGCCTTTTTTAGAGTTATTATATAAGGCCTTTCCCCAATTAATTTATTCAATTCAACTTTTCTCAATCTCATTATCGTTCTAACTACTAACTTACTCAGAGATTTTTCTGTTTTTATTTCCTCATTCATTATTTCATCATTAAAAATAGTTAATGCTGGGGATATCTTAACTAGGAGTCTTTCTTGTAGCTCATGATTATCTGAATCTGCTACTGGCGTTATCCATTTTCCAACAAGCTTTAGAGCATCACTAGCATCGTCATGGTGTTTTCCAAGTTCAGTATATGGTTGGAATTTTTTGAATTTACCAGGTCTTTCATACAAATGCCTGCCATTTTGTTGAAAGCACTCTGAGCAGATATAACGCGTACGATAGCCGGAAGATGATTGTTTGTAAGATTTCCTTCAGAAAATGCAGGACAGTCCAAAACACCAATACAAGGCACTTGAATATTTCGTTCATTTACTTTCCATGAATGTTCTGTGCAACTATTGCCACGGCTAAAAAAATATATTTTTTTATTACAGAAAAGGCAAATACAAAAATGAACAATACTTTTATTGACCAGACATGTTTGTTTCAATCCTCGAATATAAAGTTGGTTCTGATCAAATAGAAAATGATAATAGCATACACCAAGTCGATCAAGTGCATTTGCATTTTCTTCCTATGTCCCTATTGCTTGCCACAATTGCCGTAAATTTGTTAAGTGATTGCTCTGAATACTTTCGACTACACGTGCATCTATTTCCCATGTTTCTACCATTTGTCACAATCGCCATAAATTTGTTGTGCTGCTGCAGCACTTTATCTCGCCTTCAACAATATCTATAATTACACATAATATTAAATTAAGAATTTGTGGAATCTCTTCAATTTCTATATCTACTTCATCATCAACTGCTAGGAGGAATTCTTCTTGAGAATCAGTATTTTTAGATTCAATCCTGTCAAGGTCAATGCCTTCATCTTCTTCTTCATGTAATAAGGCTTGTGCATTTTCAAGAATAATAGGATTGATTGTGAAGGTCTCTTCATAATTTTTGTCCGATTCGTCGCACTCTTCCAAGTAAGTATTTTCAAAATCGTTTATTTTTTGAATGAATTATTTTTAGAAAACTAAGCAATTTATTTAATAGTTTTGTGGTTGAATTATCTTTTGCAAGAAATCGAATACTATAGCAGATTATACCTAGAGTGAAGGGACTATTTATATCCTTTTTTTTCTTTGAATTTTTATATTATTTCACTTCAAATATTTTGTTATTATATTTTTTGCTTACTATGGCTTCAATTTATATAATAGAAAAAACTGATATATGTTGCAATTTGACTAATGTTTGGCTATTCTAAATTTCAAAACATTCACCAGATGAAACATTTCTGAAATGTTACCTCAGGTGTCAGGATTCTGTGATAATTGGAATTCTGCCTTTGGCATTGTTCTGTATGCCTGGAGAAAGCAGAAAATTTGTAAAGCAGTAAAAATCCGAATGCTCTAGTGCTATCACGGTAAAATAGGTATTGTTATGACGAAACATTTTTCAAACATGATTATGAACCCATTTATTCATTAATTACAATACATTTTCGAAGTTGAAACATTTTGCCTTAGAAAAATGAGATTCTGCCAGAACGAAACATTTTCAAAGTATTGCCAATTGTACAACTATTTGTTTTATTAATAGTATTATAATGTATAATAAATTAACAAAAAGAGCTTCATTCGATATAAAACATTCGAGCTTTTTATTTTATTTAATGTATTCTTAAATATTACAAAGATTTAAAATAAATTTTAATAAAAATACATGCTTTTTGTAAATACATAAAATAAATTACTATGTTTAATCTTGCATCTGTGCTCAATGCCTTGTTAATACTTCATTGCCGTGATTCATATTACGGGTTAAAATATTTGACATGTTGAATAAAACACTCTGAATATCATTCAACATGCTATTTATAAACCCATTATATGATGAATTGCAGGTCAAATCGCAAACCCGGTTTTGTGTTGTAAAGCTACAATAAAAATAAAAATGTATTATTTAGAATCACCAAATAATGAAACATAAACTAATGGTGATGAAACGAATACATAACAAGCCTGATCATGCTACCAAAACTCTTCATATAAATGAGCAAAACCTTCATGTTAGAAGATATTCCTTGGTTCCCTAATTGAGAGAAGAAAAGCCCGGACACACTGCTATCCTGACTCATAAAAAAAAAAAAGTCAGTTACAATTGAAGAGAAACTGTAACATGTGTACCCTACGGTGAAAAAAATATGAAAGGGAGATAAAACAATAGTTTTAAAAAGATCGAATTATTGTACTATACAAGCCTAATCGTCCCACCAGATTCTATACAAGCCTAATCGTGCTGGATCCATTTGCGATAAAAGAAAAACTTGCTATTACGGCTAAAGGGGTGCTGCAACATGCCTGCTTAGTTCTATTATTGTAGCATAAAAGAAAAGAATACTGGATTAATAAAAATATAAAACAAGCGTTTTTCTTACATGTTGCATTTAAAATTTAACCTTCGGTGAAGTGCAAATCAATGAAATGGACCGCTGCGAATTATTTGTAAAAGTAGAGTAGTAAAATAGGCTGTTAAGCATATAGATGCTGTGAATTCAATCAGAAGCTATATATTATAGGGGTTAGTGTACTCTAACTTCGAGCGAAGATTCTCTTTGAACAAAAAAGAGTTAAGAATCGAGATTTTGTAGTTTAATAAAGAAACATTCGAACTATATTTTTGACCTAATCAACAATAGTCGAATGGTTTCACAAATTAGAGGTTATCATATTAAAAACTTTTTGCAAGGGCAAAATTTCTATATGAAAATCAAATGATCGATATCTAAATGTTCATATAAACAACATTTCGAACTCCTGTAAAAGGACATGTCCTGTGACTGCTAATAAACATTAATTAGATTAGATAAGATTACTATACTTTAATCATAATAAATATCATAGTTAAAGCTAAAAAGCTAAAGCTGAAAATTAGTGACCTTAATTAAAAAAGTTTTAAAATTTTAAAAATTTTGAAAATTTTTAGCTTTAACTATGACAATAAATTATACTAGGAAACAGAAGCTATTGAAGTCTGAAGCTTTAATTTTTAAAACCTTGTTATTTATCACAACTTGCAATATCACAAGCTAGTTATATAGATAAACAATTGCTATCAACCAATCAAGGTCTAAGTTAATATTATATTATCTAGATAAAAATAAAAAAAAATCACCAATTCAAATTATTTGAGTGGCAACTTTTTTTTATCTAACCTGATTTTTGCCTAGATAACTTAATATTTGCTTGCTAGATATGATTAAATTATTAAAATCTGTTTAAATTAATCTATATTTAATTAATGTATCATTATATCATTTACTAATATTGCAAGGAATCTATATATATTGATTTAATTGGTAACAATTAAGTGATTAAAAATATATTATTTTGTATTAGTGATAAATTTGCAAATAATTCATTATACTTACCTATCTATAATAAGTTAATAATAACTACTAAAGCTGTTGTATTATTTGGTTCAATTTGCAAGTAATTTTCAATGTTTATCTATGATTGTATGCATAATCTAATGCTTATTCTTATGATAAGTTTTATTTTATATTTAATATAAAGTTCACCAAACTCTAATACTAAGCCTAACTACAAACTAATATTAACTTTAAACACAAACTAATGCTAATCTTAACTGTTAAATGCTAGTATGCAATAAATATTTTAAACTACACTACACAACACTATCAGTAGCAATAAATTGATCAAGATGAAATATACCTACAAAGACTCTAGTAGTAGTAAGACACTAAGTAAACAAAATATAGTGGCAATTCTGAAAATTATAACATCAAAGGTAATGAGCATAGCAATGATGCCAAAACAACTAAGATATAAAATCTTTAATAAGTTAACTAAAGCCTGAAGTCTCTACAAATAGCAACACCAAAATGACAAAAGTCCAAATTTCTACAAATGATAAAATTACATCAGCAAAGACTTCAACAAATAGTAACTTTGACAATAGCAGCTCCAATAATGACAATTTAAGTAGTTACAAAACTAAAAAATGACTACAATAAAAGCAGTACTAAAAAAAAAACTTAGTAAAAGAAAATTAATAGATGTAAACAAAAAAAAATAAAAACAAATGAGGTGTGGTGACTTAGTGTAGTGGTCTAGTCGTCACTCTCTCCAAGTAACAGGTCTAGAGTTTAAATCCCATGGACGATGATATTTGAAAATTAGGCTTGTATTTTGGTTAACGGCTATACCTATCGGTTGGATCTAATCTGTAACTTCAGTCACACCATCTAGTAATGGGAGCAATGGTACAATAAATCTGAGGAACCGGCATAACCGAAAACCTATTTGGGAAGTCCCGAGCTAGGAATAACAGTAATCTTTAATGGTATTACAAGAGAGCTGAATTTGAACTGGGGCCCGAGATTGGAGAACTGAACAATCAGGTCCTAATGGCAGAGAACATACTAGCCGAACCACCGGGGCTATCACATTGGAGGAAAAAGATATACACTCTAAAAGTATGTACCAAGAGGAAGGCATTCTTCAGACACCTAAAGCCTAGGCAGACCAACTCTTCTGAGTTGCCGGCTGAAAGTAAGAGAGAGACCAATAAAGAATCTGGGTAAGAAGATGGTCCAATTGCGAGTACCAGGGTCGTTGTGAACCTAATAAGAGCGGAAGTAGGTAATTGCAGGGGTTCAATGATTAGCCCTAACCCCAAGTGCATGAGTTAAGCCGTGGCATAGGTTGCCGAAGTCTAGATAGATATATGTGTAGGACATGTGATATCTAGCAAAATGGAAATATCCCACTATCCAATGATCTGGAGGCATCCGGAGTTGGAGTAAGCAAACTACAGATGCTATATAGACCAATGGTAAGGTAAATAGGGTTATGACGACTATACTGGGCTGAAAGGTTTGGTACGTCTTACTCAAAGAGGTTTATGGAGATTCAGGAACTGTAACACCACAGGGGAGGGACCTGGGACATCAGCGGTTGTTGATAACTAATTAGGAAGGTTATAGCTTGAAATACAGACTGGGTTACGGCAGCACTATAAAAGGTGGCCTGAGATACGAACTCAGTAATGGCAGCATAACAGGTACTAATAAGTTAGAAATTACCAATAATGTACTAAAAATCTGTTGTAAAAGTTATCCACTATATGAGTAATAAAAAGACAATATTATTAAAAAAAAAAAAAAAAAAAAAATACTTATCTGTGCTAATCTTTGTAATCTGCAATATTGCAAGTTGTAAAAAATAACTATATCAATATTTCTAGTATAAACATCTTTATATACTAAATTGGTTTCATGAATTATATTAAGCTCTCTAGTTATGTAATATATTGTAAATTAGCTACTTTGAAAGCCCAATTTAATTTATAATATTTACTATCTAACAATTCTTCAAAACTTCTTTGCTTTGTATACTCCATAATCATCATGTAGTGAAAATCTTTTAGATTTTTAGTTATTCTATAAATTGCAATTATCAAATCACACTATATTTATTTTTTTATTTATTTATTTTTTTTTTTAGCTCTTTGACAGTTTTGCCAAAGCTCAAATACAATACTTTATTAAACAAACTTGAACAGAATGAATAATGACAGTATAAAAATTGCAAGCCCGATATCACCTGGCTGCATCTAGTGTGCCCAAGAGCAACTTGTCACACCAACCTATATGTAAGTTAGAAGACCTTATCAGCCCACCAAGAGCCTATTCCTTCATTTTTACTTTTTTCACTGAGAGCAAAAGAAAATAATGTTTTGTATTCTCAATACTGGACTATACATCAAGAAAAAAAGGAGTTTATATACAAAAAAGAAACAAAACAAGAAAGAGAAAGTAATAAGGAATAAAAATAGAGAAAACAGAAAATGTAAAAAAAGAAAAAAACAAAGAAATAAGCCCCGATAGGCTGAACAAGAAAAAGCTATTTCCTGTGAGAAATAGCAGCTACCTTTATTAAGAAATAGCACAAAAATGAACACAAAAAAAGAAAAAAAGAGGGTGTACTATTATAACCTACAAAAAAAAAATCTGTGCCCAGTTTGAGATAGTCAATTGATTTTCTATATGTAATATTCAATAAATCACACTGTATAATAATAATAATTTTTATATTGATACGTAACTTTATTAGAAAAACACAGTAATTTTAAAGTATAAAATACAGTATAATCCAAACCAATAAGCTAATCTACACTATTTCTAATAATATTGCTCTTTTAAAATTTTTTCAACTCCAAAAGCTATGCTTTTATATTGTGTTTAATATTATAAATGATTTATATTTATTTTTTTAATTTTTTTTTTATTGTATTAGAAGTGTGTAGTCTAAATATATAGTTTCGGAATAAAAAGCCTGCAATAAACTCAATATCTTCCACCCTCCTACTCTTCAATAAAGACTCACTCGGCTGCTCGTAATAGTGACCAAGTGCAATCTGCCGCAACAATAATTTATTCATCTCCAGCATCTAACTTGCTAGATGGCTCCCTAAAAGAATTACTATAAGCTTACTGCTAGCTTTGTCAAGATTGCTTTTTTTTTAACATTTTTCCTTCTTCAAAGGGGCAAAGTAAATGGGGAAAATAAAAACAACAAAAACAAAACGAAAACGAATATAACAAAAAAAATAAGGGAAAAAGAAAAAACAAAGAAATAAAAGAAAAAGAAAACATATATAAAAGAGAATATAAAAGAGAAAATAACAAAAAAAAGAAAACAAAAAGGATAGCAGAAAATTCTATTTTTTTTAGCACTACTATTACCTGTGCCAGGCTGAAAAAATTATATAACAAATATGATATTTGTATATCTCTAGTATAAAGCTTCGCCTTATCAAGTAAATTTTCCGACTAGGTTATCTGGACTTCTAAATGACATAAGCAGTCAACCTCGGTATTACATGAAGCAACACGGTCTATAAACAAAACAAACTAGACACATGATCGCAGTCTGCTGGAACTGTCCAGATTTGGTAAGTGTAAACAATGCTGATCTTTTAGAGGGGGTAAGCTATTTTGCCTACTTTTGTGAGAAATTTTGGAAGAGCGGCGAGAAGGCAGAGAAAAGAGATGAAACCACTTTGTTTTGTTTAATAAAGGAGTATGTATTTTTTTTACTCAACACACTGAATTTATAAGAAGGTGCCAGTACTCTCCTTATTTTTCCAGGTAAGTAATAAACTCTGAGCTTGTCGGCAAATAGCATATGAGAACTATTTCTAAACGACAAGTGCCCGGCCCCCGCGATAAGTGATAAACTCTAAAGAAGTTAGCAGGTAGCATATAAGAACTACCTCTAAATAATAACTGCTGAGTTACGGAGCTTAAAGATTACTTCCCAGACTGTTTCAACCTTTATGAATACTTGTATTTTTTTAAGAATTTTGGATTTTTTTGTGGTAAAAAAAATCATCAGAAAGAGTTGGACCCACTTATTTTTTTAAAGTTTTACTTACTAGCTTATTTTATTATACAAAATATTATTCTGTAAACTGCCTACTTGTATGTATCTTATTTTTCATACATAATCTATTAATCTAATTCTTGAAGTACATTTAAAATTCTTAATTATTAAAGAATTACAAACCAACTTAAAGTTAACTTAGTATATATTGATATTCTGTTTAAAAATTAAAAACTACAATACATGTATTCTAGTCTTATACCAGTATTGGCTTGACCAGATCAGTTTGACCATTGGACCAGACCAATTTGACCTGTCTAGTCAAAGAATCTGTACTAGTCAAATTGGTCAAATAGTATATTTTAATATAATTTATTATATAATATATATATTATATTTATATAA